ATTTTTGGGATGTTACAGTAATACCACAGGGTGGGTCCATGGCAATATGGAAGTGTTGGAAGATTATGGATCAACAATAGCATTCACAAGGTTGGCAGGTAGTATGGAAGTGTTTTAAGAATATGGGGTAACCGTAGCATTCACAAGTTTTTCAGGAAATTGTGGGAGTGTTGTAAGACTACGGGGTATTCGTAGCATACACAAGGATGATAAACTGTCAGGGAATTGATGTAAGTATGCGATGTAGTCGTAGCATTCACCAGATTGAGGTAGGCTACGACAGGATTGGTCGTTGGGCTGAAAGAGAATCAACGCATGCGTGGGTCGAGGCAGACAATATTGTCGGAGGATTACTCTTTATTTGGGTTGAGACCCGTGGGTGAGGCCCATATGGTTATGATAAGGGTGGGTGAGACCCGGTGGAAAATTGGTTGGAGCAAGGTATTGGATCACGTTTAAAGTGGGATGACTCTGTGGTCAGTGATTGGTATATGTGTGATATTTAGGCTAGGGTAGCTTTTATCAGTTAGACTCTTAGTAGGAGCCTGGTGGTGAGACCAGGTGTGAAATTGTCAGTCTCAGCGGTCGATTGGGGATTTGATATCTCCGTTTAATGGAAGGTTACCGTCCTGAAAATCCAAGGTAAAATTTTCATTTTTAAAATAATAAAAAATACAACGAGATGTTCCAAAACCAATCAAAGTGAATATATTATTTTAACATCAGAGTAATATCATTAATTGCCAATGCGGAAAACTCTGGGGGATGTTATTGCATCACTCCTTGAACCGCCCAAACACTTCATCTTCATCCTTTTTCTTCAGAAAATACACCCAGGTCTTCCTTGAGTAATCATCGATAAAAGTCACAAAGTATTGACATCCACCATGAGACTTCACATGAGAAGGACCCCATAGATATAAGTGAACATACTCGGGAATCTCCTTGCTTGAGTGTTGAACCGAACTGAACTTCACCCTGCTTTGTATCTCTTGAACACAAGCTTCACCAGGTTCAAATTTTCAAGTTGCATCTCCACCAAACAACCCCTTCTTTCTAACATGTCCTTTCTTTCATCATCATATTGATCCAAGGATTGGGATACAGTCACCGTTCCCCCAATCGTACAACCATCCAGAATATGAATACCATGAGGATTCATCCTTCCCTATATAACTACAAGAGCACCCTTAGAGACTCTTAACCAGTCACCCTCTCCAGAATACTTCAATCCATACTTCGCCAAAGTTCCAAGAGAAATCAAATTCTTTCGAAGCTCTGGGATGAACCAGAAATCCAGTTTCCTGATCATACCATTATGTATCTTGATCTGCACCGTGCAACTACCCTTGATACTGCTCACCTAATCATCACCCATATTGAGTGTGTCATTCCACTCTTTGAAGAAGTCGAACCAGTCGCAATTACATGTCATATAATAGGATGCTCCAGAGTCCAAGACCAAAGCATTGGCAGAACTAGATGTACAAGCTGTCAAAACTTCACCATCATCCCCTTCATCAGAATTTCCTTGAACCATAACAACATTGTTGTTGCTTGGTCCAACACCATTATTACCTTTCTTCAGCAATGGGCAATCTCTTTTGAGATGACCCTTTTCCCTGCAATTATAACATTTGATGTTGGCTTTAGATACGGAACTTGACTTACCTTTGTTACCTCCACCTCTATTCGATGTTCTTCGTCTGCCTGCGAACAAACCGAAACTAGGAACTACTTCTCTAACTGAAACTTTTGTTTTCAGTTCCTTGGACAACAAAGGATCCTTCACATCATTCACAGTAATAGTTGTCCTACCATACAACATGGTATCAACGAAATTCTCATAAAAATTCGGCAGTGAACATAAGAGGATAAGTGCTTGATCTTCATCTTCAAGCTTTACATTCACACCTTGTAGGTCCAAGATGATCCTATTGAACTTGTCCATATGATCCTTCACTTCGACACTTTGCGACATCCTAAGAGCATACAAAAGTTGCTTTTGGTATAGCCTGTCCGTCAGATAATTGTTCCGATACTTGTCACACAATTTCTTCCAAAGCCCATCGACACTCGTTTGATCCACGACCTCTCTCAGTACTTCGTCTGTCGAACTCAATAGAATAACACTATGCTCTCTTTCAAGAATATCCGCCTTCCTTTCAGCCGCCATGTCCTTTGGCAGTTTTGCTTCTCCTTCTAGTGTCGATACACATCCTTGTTGAACTAGAAGATCCTTCATCTTCACCTTCTATAAAGTGAAATCATTCGAACCATTGAACTTCTCCAAATCGAACTTGTAAGATGCCATCTTTAATCAACAGAACACCAACCACAACTATGATACCACTTGTTAAGGAAAACAGACGATACTTTTCAAGATTCAGAACAAATCTGATGCAACTTGCCATGTTCTAATGACCCTTGTTAGGAAGTAATGCAAATAACAAGCAAAACTATAAGCACACAAAGACACAATATTTACGTGGTTCGGACAAGGTGACCTATGTCTACGGGCAGGAGGGGAGTATTCTTTATTTCAAAGCTCTCAAGCAGAGGTTACAAGTACAATTCACCATAGATTTGCCCTAATCACTAAGGGTACAAGATACAAGACGCAAGATACTTCAAATGAATCTGCATTCATCCTTATTTATACTTGAGGGATCAGACCTAAAACCCTAATGGGCCAAGCCTATTGGCCCATAGGCCCATGAGTGGTGACAACCAATCATATTCCGCCATGCAACATCTTCTAGAACATTCTTCGATGTCATACAACCCATGAGCATCAGCAACACACATGATGGAGCACCTTGAGCCATAGTGGAGCATCATGATGTACAAGTGGTGCATCATGAACACTAATGGCCCAACATCCATCATGGTGGCACAAAATGGTGTAATCCTCGAGCAATACCAACTTCTAAGCATCCTTGAATGATCTTGAGCACCATAGAGGACTTCATAGCATACTTGGCTCATCACGGACCAAGATGGTTCAACTTGCACCATGATGGCATAACAAGTGTATGGATGGCGCAACAGGCTTCAAGTGTCGCACAAGAAGATCAAGATTGAAGCAACAACACAACCTTGACGCAACAGGAACATACATGGCACAACAAGGCCATGCATGGTGCAAGATTATACTTCATGGCTCAACAGGAGTACCCCATGGCGCAAGAGGGATCCTCATGGCGCAAGAGGGAGCATAATGGCACAAGAAGGAATTCTCTTGGCGCAACAACAACCTTCTTGGCCCATCCCTTCAACATATGGCCAACAAGGTTCCCTTGTTGCTCCATATCACTCCCAAGTGCTCCAAACCTCTTCCAGGTGCTCCAAACCCCCTTCTGTATGATCTGTTCCTTGGACACTTGATTCGTTCCTTTGTCAGACAATCCGTTTATTTCTCAGATGATTCGTTACTTTGTCACATGCTCCATGAACCCCAAGTGCTCCATTGAGTTCCAACTGCTCCAAATGCTCCATGAACATGATCCAAATGCTCAAGTCACATTTAGCATGTATTATTTTCTGAAATTTGAAGTTCAACATATAACAAAATTCATGAGATTGCATAATACTGATTGATGTTATGTTAGATACTCTGCTTCTACAACAAGTTGCTACTGTTGCAGGTTATAATAAAACGTGGAATACTTTGATTTAACTACTGATTCTTAGGATCTTCTCAAAAAAATAACTATATTCCTTTTGTTGATATTTTACAAGTAACAAGTAACAAGTTACACATATCTGGTATCAATAGAGAAAAGTGTAAGTACATTGATATTGTGATTAAAAAAATAAAGCATATTGCATGTGTGAGTAAAATATGTTTGCCATTTTACAATATCTTTAGTTGGCATTATGTGTATGTTTATTAATTTCAATTTCTGTATAGGCAACTTCTGTTTGTTTTTTTCAAGCTTTGTCCTTTCAAATATGCAGCTTTTACTTGATCTCACTGATATTGATATACATATAAGCTTTGAAATAGACATGAAAAGCAAGTGGTTGCATGTCAGGTCAATTGTTACATATTTTGTTTAAAAGTTCCCAAAATGCCCTCTTCCAGGTGAGGAAATTAAATTTAGAGGTTATATTGGTTGGTTGTGATGAGCTTTTGGACTTTTAATTATGGTGTGGTAAATGTGAAAAAATGCATCTTTTTTTTTCATTCTGTTTTTTACTTCATGTAGACAGTTGACGACGGTGTTCATATCTCTTAATTAAAACATAAAAATTGAAACATCAAGACAACATTATTTCTACTTTTTAAAACATGATGTCTTACAATTTGATGTTTTTTGTAGGCAAACAATCCTACAAATGAACTTGGTTCGACTCGTGAGATAGGGAAATTAAAAAAAATATATAAATTTATATAGGGTGAGATTCAATAGAGAACCATAACTAACCAAGGAATCAATTTTTTTTTCAACTTTTAGAACTTATTTTTTATAAATAAAAAAAACTAAAAATACAGAAATTCATAACTTTTTATCATTTTTCCAATAATATCAAATTCGATTTTTTTTACGTCAAATTCACAATGTAAATCTTTGAAAATTCACAATGTGAATCCGGATTCACACGGTGAATCCGAAAAAGATTTTGCACATTCACAATGTTAATATATGAATTTATATATTTTTATATTTTTTTTTCGATGAAGAATAAGCTCTAGAAATTGAAAAAAAGATTTGGTTCCTTGAAGAACCAATAATTATGGTTCTCTATTGAACTTTTCCCAATTTATATATACAACATTATATAGTAGAATGTTATAATTGAGTTTTCAAAGTATAATGTCTTAATAAAAAAATCGTCTTTTAAGCCTGAGCTCATCTACGAGGTTTTTTTTTTTGGTAAATTCATTACAATAGTGTTTTTTTTTTTCATTCAACCGGGTTCTATAATGGGCCGGCTTAATTATCTCGAAATTCCGCTCCGCTCCACTCTAGAGTCTAGTCTAACTATACAAGCCCAATACGGGTTGATCATCTTCCTGAAGCAACTATAGTCTTCTTCTGCTTCATCAAAGGGGGAAACACCATTCCATATCTCCCATCGCATCTTCCGATCAAAGACTTCTCTATGCCAATTGCGGAATCAGATTCCTTTCTGGAGTTCTCTGTCGAACTGTTTGCTTGAGCTCATAATCAGTTCCTTCCGATATAATCGATTTGAAATGCTCGTGAATCGGTGAAAACACCAGTAAATGAATACATCACCGTTTATGGACAAGCAGATCATGGATCTATCGAGCTCGCAAAATAAAAATAACGCAGAAAAAGATTTCATGGATCTGAACAATCAACCTCCTCAAGAAGACGATCAACAAGACGTCGTAGTTGGCGGCGGTGATAAGACCGATGAGATCCTACCTAGCTATGACTTCCAGCCAATCCGTCCGATCGTATCATCTCAGCCTTCCAATTTTGAATCTAGTAGCAGTGGTGGAGCTAGGGTTTGGGCGTCAGCTGAATCTAAGATTAATTTTGGCACCCGAGTAAGTCGGTTACTTCAATTTCGTTTCCTCTTGCTGTTTCCGCTTTTATCCTGTTTAAATTTTGTGGTTTCAGAAGTGTTGTTTCAGTGATTTATCGTTAATAGTTCTAGAAGACTAAAAACCATCTGTTGGAGTAGATTTTCTTGCAATTGACTATGCTCTAGCTTCGTTAAAACTTCGATATGCGTAGGATATGATACTTTAACTTCCTTTTGGTTGAATAATCGATGAAAGTGATAACCACGAAATTCCTATTGATCGATAAAATTATGTTACAGAAGTTTCCTTTGAATGTTGAATTAACAATCAAACAAGCACACAAGCAGAATAGATTTTACAAACTAGTCTATGAATTACATTTCTTCCTGCTATGAGATGAAATTCATCATTTTTACTTTTTTTTGCATGTACAGAACTATGGTTCTCTTGATTCTGTTGAACCCTCTAAGGTGATTATGAAGAACGATCATAGTGTCATCGATGCAGCTTTGATATCAGAGATTGATAGAACAATGAAAAAACACGCTGATAATCTGATGCATGCTTTGGAAGGTGTCAGTGCACGAATTTCTCAACTAGAGAGCAGATCTAGGAACCTTGAGAACTCTGTTGATGATTTAAGAACATCTGTTGGTAACAATCATGGAAACACTGATGGGAAATTAAGGCAGATTGAAAACATAATCAGAGAGGTAAACCATTTACACACTATACTTCTACAGTTCTACTATCTGTTCTGTTATGTCATGTCATGTATTGTACTTTTCTCAAAAGGTACACGCAGGTGTACAGGTTGTGAAAGATAAGCAAGAAATACTGGAGACTCAGCTGCAGCTATCACAAGTACAAATTTCAAAACCCGAGCAACCACCACCACCACCACAACCAGAACCCCAAATTTCCGGCCATATGGGATCATTGCAGCAGCAGGCGGCGCTTCCATCTCCGCCACCTCCCATCCACCATCCACCACCCCAATTTCCGGCGAACATCATGTCCATTCCACAGCATGATTCTTACTACCCACCGCCCGGTCAAACCGCTGAACCACCACCACAACCACAGCAGTACCAACTGCCGCCACCGCCTAAGCTCTCACCGCCATCACCACAGCCACAATATCAATACTCTCAACTACCGCCAATGTCCCTGCAACACCATAACCCTAACCCTAACCCTAATCCCCCTCATTCCGAAGAACCACCGTATTTATCTTATCCACCGAGTTTCCGGCAACCTGGCGGCAGCGGCCCACCTCCACCACAGTTTAACAATAATCCATCCGGGTCAGGTTTTTCCGGCCAGTACGGGCCATCACCTGGGTTTAACGAGCCTTACAATTACGGTGGTCCTGGTTCTGGCTCTGGCTCTGGTTCTGGTTCTCAGTATGGCAGCGGGTCACCCGTAAAATCCCATGGCGGCGGAAGCGGCGGAGGTGGATTCTCTCAGCTTCCTACCGCCAGGATTTTGCCGCAGGCTGTTCCTACCGCGGCGGCAGTTGGCGGCGGTGGTGGTGGTTCTGGGAGCGGTGGGAATAGGGTTCCGATTGATGATGTGGTTGATAAGGTTACTAATATGGGGTTCCCGAGAGAGCAAGTGAGGGCGACTGTTAGAAAGTTGACTGAAAATGGTCAGGCGGTTGACTTGAATGTGGTGTTGGATAAGTTGATGACTGATGGGGTTGAAAGTCAAGGGCCCAGAGCTTGGTTTGGTCGTTAATACTTGATCTGTTTTTATTATTATTTTGTTTTGTTTTGGGGATTATATTTTGTGATTAATGTACATAAATTTGAACCAATGTGGCTGATGGATGTTATATGATTGGATTTATCAATGTGTACTCTGATTTCTGACCTCATATTTTACTTGACGTTTTCTTTTATCAAGTTATTGTAATTGTAAAAGTTTTTGGTATATCATGAAGAGGGTTTCTTAGTGATGAAATCCTTAGAATTTATTAGATTTATTTTTGTATATTATTATATAACGATGAACATGTCATTGGAAGAAGGGTTGAGGCTGGTAACATTTCGCTTTAGAATTTATGGAGTTTAAAGATTATGCTTTAAGCAATGGTGGTAGGATTAGTATATATATTGATCATGAGGATTACTATATATATTAGCAATGGTAGTATATATATTAATCATTTTGTATGCCACATTTACAAATGTGGTTCATTTTGATTAATTGGTGTATATAAACATGGAATTATATATAGCAAAATGACTTAATATCATTGTATGTGACTAAATGTAGCAGTGACACAATAAGCCACCTATAGCTTATACAGAGGGAAAGTGTTCCTTTTATCAACTAAGCCCATATTTAGCTTACAATAATCTCACATCTAGCTTATAAAGGTGGAAAGGGTCCCTATTATCCATATTAGGATATCACACAAGTCTCAACCTAATCCTAGCATGATATGTACACATATGATGCTCAATCAAAGTTTAAAATGAGTATAGATTTTTCTCATTCAAAACATATTAAAAATGTGTATAATGCACAATCATGCCTTAAAGGAAATATAACACATAAGAGTACATAGTTATAATTAATACCATTTTTTTTCCAAATGTAATAATAAAGGACATGTAATCTGGTATGTACTTACCTCAACTGTGAAAGTCCTTATCCTTCATTTTCCTCTTAGAGTACTTGATGAGCTTAGTGGTAACCTAAAGATAAACATAATTGGGTCAAACACCTCATATTGATCCATTAAGTCACTTATTAAGTTCTTAATCTTACATGTGAAAATTTATTATTCAAAGCTCATCCTTATGTATTTAGAAGAACACCGGCGAAAATGAAACCTGAATCGGACTCCATATGCAAAAATTATGACTTTTTCAAGTTTTGTTTAAGTTGATTACACGACCATGTAACTTAAGCCTAGAGAAAAGCATGACCGTGTTTTTGGTCGACTCATTAGCATGTTTCAATTTTTTTTTTCATATAGGCATTACACTTTGGCCCCATTGAACCCTTCTCCTAAACAAAGCTTCTAAATGATTTTTATGAGTGTAATAAGTCCTAATAACTTGATTTAGTATTTAAATACCTCTTAATCCTTTAACAACTTAATACACAAAACTCTTAATATCTCATGTATTTTAGGCTTCCATAGACATATCAAGCATGCACTATGTCTTAAGTCATTAATGACTTCAAGGTGTTATTAAAAACTCCAATAAGACTTTAAGACTTCTAGCTAAGATCTTCTAAACCACATCTCAAGTATAATATTAATCATAAGCCAAATGCTAAATCATAATTTCATCTTTTCCATTATAATTCTATCATATATATGAGTTGTTGATTCTATTCCATCATAGAGGTTACAAAATCATTCAAAACTTTAAATCATCCTTTATTAAACCAAAATCATTCTATATTTTCATTGAATTACTCATTTGAGTTTATAAATCCCTGTTTTAACACTTGACTTTGTTTCTAACTCATTATATTCAATTCCAATGGTAATCACGAATTCCAAAACAATAAAAAATGGAAATTATGGAATTATGACAAAGAAAACTTATAGATCAACATATACTTAAGTAATCCTAGATTTGAATAATTTATCATGACTAGGAACTAATATACAACTCAATCTAGCCGATTTACAACTCATTCATGAAGTTAGGTTTCTCAATACACCCAATTCCATAGATGGAGATGAAAAATTAAGCATTCATCGATCAGATGCAACTTCATGATAATCTTGAATAGAAATAAAGAATTAGAATCAACTCAAAACACCCATAAACCTATATAATTAATATTTATAATATAAAGCCATGATTTCCACCAATTTTTTCTTTATTTTTAAAACATCATTTAAAGGAATTTAGCAACTAAAGAATTTATTTAAACGTTTTTACGTTTTTAAACAAACACCAACGTTACGAAAAACTCCAAATCCATTCAACTCAAAATGTAAAAGAAATACGATAGTTCCAAAACTCCATGATGACCAACATGACATGTCCAAATGATATGAATATAATAAAACATAACTACCTAAATAAAATCCCCACCTCACCAAGCCTCACTCCCTATAAACCTATACCGTCACAAGGAATATCATGGTAAAACACATCAAGATCAAGTGTCAGCAACAACTTAGTGAGTCAATCACAAGTACAATAAGGAACGAAACATACATATCTCATGCAGATCAATCAATCACACAATCAACACATATAATGTTTCTACACCATACATTGCATTCCTTCACATACATAACACATATCATTGCTATATACATTACATGTATTAATCTACACCTTACACCGCTTTTATTCTTTGCAGTATTATTAATAACTATTCTTCACTATAACTACTAATTTTTTATTCATCGCTTTGTACATCATATTATTTATTCACTTAATTCATCTCTTAATTCATCGCATTATTCTTAGCTATTACGATTATATATCGTCGCTACCCAAAGGTACTTACCCCATTCGCTGCTAACGTAACCGACTCGACCCACTTCACCAAGTGAGGCGCGATTGCCCTCGATTCATTGTGTTTGCTACTTCGATATTGCATGTACAAGTACGATGTGTTGTCGTTCGAGATTGGTATTTTTATCGTTATACCTCCCACTCAAAAGTGCAGTTTGATCTTGGCGTCATTGTTGGCAACATCACTACAGTCTCATCGCAAGTGTACCATCTACCGAATGATTTTTTGTAAAAACCACTCGACTTTGTTATTGGCTTAAGCTCTTATCCTATAGGTACTCTTTCAACCTATTAGGCCATCGTTGAATCCAGATAGGGTACACACCTAAGTTTAGGTTACTACCCCTAGCCCCCTCTAAGTGTATTCCCTATTTTAATTAATTTATTATTAATTCACTCGTAAGAGTTATACAATATTATGTTGGGTTTTATTTCAAAAATAGTTTCATAAGCTTGAAAAATATGGCAACGGAAGACTTGTAATTTTTGAAATAACATAAAGATTTTATACCCACCAAGGATCTTCTTGCAAGTTATACAAAGATTAAAACACCAACCAAAGAAGAAGTGAAGAAATAACAACCTTTATAGTTCTTTGGGTCCTCTTGGGAGGTTTGGAAGTTGACGAAGAATATGGAACCTTTGAGAGACCAACAATGACTCAACTTGATGTAGATGCTAGTCCAAAACTCTTAAACCCTTAAGCTTTAAGTTCACAACCAATATGAACTTCAGGAGGGCATGTGAAAGCAAGTAATCTCCAAGTCTTCAAAGCAAAACTAGAGAGAATGAGAGGGAAGAAACTAGTTTCGGCCACTAGTAGGGAAGAAGGAATGAACACCATTTCAAGAATGCAAGCCTCTTATTTATATGCATAAAGTGAAGGTATTAACCATTAGGTCTTAACACCTTAAGCACATATGTCCCCATGTAATAAACATGTCTCCCATGCTTTATTACTTTTGAATAAACTAATGGAAAGCCCATACTCTTTATCTTTAATCAATTTTTCAGAAATTGCACATAAAAAGAAGAGTTTGTTTATATTTTATAAGCTCAAAGTTTATAAGATATAAACTTTGTCTTTTCCTAAAAGAAAAAAAAGCTTAACTAGTCCACAAAGTTGTACACAACTTATTAATTCATACATTATGAAATAATATATATGTTATATTACTTGCTAATGAAAATTAACTATTTACTAGAAATAAATAATTTCCAATTCAATTGTAAGAGTTTTATTGAATATTTATTAAAATCAATTTCTAATAAATAATCAATTGTATCAAGTTGTTGTTAGTGTGACCCATTAGTATTATATGTTATTTAACAATATCACTTTGATATGACTCTTGAGCATACTATACCTTTCAATCTCCCACTTGCGCAAGACTCATATTAGACTGATATAGACAGTGGTGAACATCTAGCAACATTTCACTGCCCCCAAGACCATATAACTTTTTGGGCCATTCTATCAACGCCCAATTCCCAAAAAGCTCAAAACTACAATTGGTGTATAAGGTAAGTTTATCATTTATCCCTTTGCTATAGGCATCATGTTGAACATGAGATTTGGATCTCCATCAATCTCGTTAGTTGTTTAAATTTTGGTAAGGCGCCTTAGATGTCTAACTCTCAACACATAAGAGGAACAAATCTCATCTTGACTACATAAGCCTCTTGCATAGTTCACACCATACCTGAAAATAGCTTTTATAATTGCCCAGTTAAGGAACAACATTTGACCATATCGAAGCATAGTACTCCCTACACTCAAGTCCCACTATGTATCTCAGGTGTTAAGGATACAAAGATAGTACCTTTTAATCAAGTATCATTTATGACAGCGATCCATGAGATGATCTTGATGCGGGTCAGTTTAATACTAGTTCTCTGACAAGTACCTATGAAACTTGGTTAAAACCACTTGCCTAATTTCATCTAGTGAGAGTCAACCAATCCAATTCATATTAGTCTTATTTCATAATTGCTCCCACAATTATAACCGACTATGAACTTTTAGAATAATAACATTATTCACGGATTAAACATGTTAATATAGAACAAAACAAGTATTAATGTGATGACTATATCCCAATATATCATAACATTATCTAATAGTTGTTGTTATAATGTTCCAATATCTAAATACTAAATCCAAATAAAAAATCCATTTCTAGAATCATAAAGTCTTATAGCTGAAGTGTGACCATTCATACTTAGCTCAAAAGAATGACTTTATTAATGGATCTATAAAAATTTAATTTGTGTGAATTTTGTGAATTCCATCATCTCCATACTTAACTTTACTCTAGGTATAGTTTAATATCTTGGATAATATGGTTGGTGTTCTTTCGTGACATAGAGTCTCTTAGCTTGATTAAGTATA